CATTTAATTTTTTGTTGTGCTCAATGGATTGTTTTGCAGGGCTTCCTGGGGTTGTGATCCTTGTTGTCTTTTCCTAGGATATGGGCTAAAATATTTTTAAATGCTGGTTTGGTATTCATAAAGTTCCTAAGGTGCTCTTTGTCATGAAAGTATCTTGTTTCACCGTCAATTTTGAAAGATAGTTTTGCAGGGTACATCAATCTGTGTTGGAGGTTGTTTTCCTTTAGTGCTTGAAATACATCACTCCAAGCTCTTCTTGCCCTGATTTCTCATGTTCCCTTATAATTTTGAAGCAATTTTTCTTTTCCTGGTCATTAATTGCAATCTTATCTTCTGTATCTGAAATTCTGTCCTCACATTGGCTCATTCTGCTGTGTAGACTTTCAATGGAGTTTTCATTTCCTGGAAATCTATTTACATCTTTTTTATGGATTCCATTTGTTTCCTATGTTGGGATTCCATCCTGTTCCTCAGCTCCTCTCTAGATTTATTAATCATGTCTTGCACTAGGGGCACAATTTCTCCTGTTATCTGAGAAATTATTTCTGATTTCATTTTTTTCCAGATCCCCTGTTGTTTCCAGTTCAGTGGGCCCAGGTGGTTGAGTATCAGAGTGTTTCATCTCATTTCCCTTTGGAGTTGTTGTAGGTGATCTTGAAGTCTGGTTTTGAGGCTTATTTACATGTTTTCTCATTTTGACTGGGGGGGGGTGCTGTTGGCACCCACCTGGATCACCTCCTCTGAGCTGGGAGAGGTGGGACAGGGGCTGGGAGCTGCAGTAGGGATGGTGGCCCAGAAGCCCCTTCCTCTGGGCTGGGAGCAGTGGGACAGAAGGCAGCCCAAAAGCCCTTTCCTCTGGGCTGGGAGCAGTGGGAGTGATGGTGGCTGGGAAGCCCCTTCCTCTATACCAGGTGAAGTGGGACGGTGGCTCAGAAGCCCCTTCCTCTGGACACAAGCGGTGGGACAGAAGGCCTCTTCTTGCCTTGATGATTTGCATTGAGAAGTCTGCTGTGTTTCTGATGGGCTTTCCTTTGTATGTGATTTGTTTCTTTTCTCTAACTGCTTGTAGTAGTTTGTTCTTCTGTTGGGTTTCTGGAATCTTAACAATTATATGCCTTTGTGTAGATTTTTTTTGATCAAGGCTATTTGTAGTCCTATATACCTCACTTATCTGTATGTCAAGTTCTTTTCCCCTGCTTGGGAAATTTTCTGCCATCACTTCTGTGAACAGTTTTCTTTATGCCGTCTGCACTCTCCTGTTTCTTCATTGTCTCCAATCAGTCTTATGTTATTCTTCTTTCCATCGTCTAGCAGCTGCTGGATTGATTTCTCATGGTCCCTTACAATTTTAAGGAAAGCTTTCTTTTCCTGGTCACTAATTGCAATCTTGTCTTCTATAATACTTGGATTATAGTTGATGTAGTCATGTGGTCTATATTTCATTTCTCATTTTAGTGAAGGCATGTTTGTAAAATTTTTAATTATAAAACTAGTGTTTCTTTCTGAACTGTAATGCTAAGTTACTCACCCTTTTACATTTTTCTGAAGATAATCTCTATTTCAGTTATCCTGAGTTATTCACCTCAACACAGAACTTGGGATGTAATAGCTTGGAGTTAATTGTATGACATTTGGCTTCTTCTTCCATGTCTTTGGATCTTTCTGTTGGTAATGTGCCTGTCCTGCTTGGACTCCTGTGCTGCATACATGGGTCAGGCCCTATCCTAACTTCTGGAGCAAGATCTGGAAACCAGGCTCTTTCCCTAACAACAGCTTCTAATTAATGGGGTTGGGGTAGGTATTGGTTCCTTTGACCTAGTGGATAAGTATCTATTTTTCATCTAATTTGGAGTGCAAAGGGTGTGTCTTTCTGACTTCTAGATGTGAGGAAAACCACTAGAAATCCCAATTTTGGCTTTGGGTCAGATCACTCTTGTTAGTTTTACCTCACCATATATAAAGCTAATATTTTGATCATTTGCTTGACCCCTGTGTCAGTGTGGAAATCAGCTCCAAACTCTGAAAGGGCGATGGCTGTGTCTTTGTTTTTGCCAATTTAAAGCCCCAGTACACTAAACAAAGAACAATGTGAAATCACATACTGTTGTACATTCTTGGGACACTCTACCACAAGAATTTCTCATTGGCTCTTCTTCCTTAGTGTCCAGTTTCTCTCTACCTTCCCTTTTTTTTCTTCTTCCTTTTACTTCTTGCATTGTTAAGTTCCTGGAACTCCAAATGCTTTTTCTTTAGGCTGCAAAGTAGTACTTCAGCTCTTTCCTGCCTCTCCCCCCAAACTTGGACACTCAAACCTGTCAAGGAGAGGTTACCAGGTCTATAAAGAACATACCTACCTCCCTGCAGGTTTTCTTCATGGAGTTGGATGAGGGAGATTATTCCTTCTAGAGGACTGTGCTGTGATCCATCAATCTCTTTACAGTATTAACCAAATGGTACAAAAAATTCAATTTTCAAAATTCTTCCATCCACAAATAGGCAATTTGGCAGCTTTCTTAAAGATTTTGTGGCCAACAGAATATTCTGGCTTTGCTTTACAGTCCATATCACCAAGCTGTCTTACCTTTAATACCACATTTCCTTTGTCAAAGTCTGCAAGAGTAGATCATTATCTTTGGTAGGAAAATCCTTTATTTGCTATTCAGACAGAACTCATCACTATCTAGTATAATGGTCAGGCAATGAAGAAGCGATTCATCCTCAAAATAAATTATTTGGAGTAAAAATGAATGGGTTCTTAGGGGGACAGATAATAGTTTGTGACAAGATCTGTCTTGAGTTTCTCCTGTGATGAAAGTCAATCTTCCTTGGTTGCTGAAACTTCCTAGGGAGAGGATTGATAACAATAGCATTCCTTTTGGTGGATCTGTCTAGCAGCTTGTGGTAATTCAGAAAGCTACACTCTTAATTTTGGTATTTTTCAAGTTCCTGTAGCTCAAAGTAGTGAACATTCCAAAAGCAACTTATTTTGGAGAGGTATTTCCTCACCTCTTTCAATGGCTAGGTTTGTTTAAGGACAAATTCAACCACACTTACTAAAAATGAGATTAAGTAAATACAAATGGGATAAAAGTTTATAAAGTTGTCATAGTTTCCAAAATCTTTTCAAGTAGAAAAGACTTATTCATGATGTCTTATTTTATTTTTTATAGAACTAAATTATCCATCTTTATTTTTAAAATTTTAATTAGTACATGTTTGCAATATACAAAGTTTATATTCACTTTAGGAAGTATGTACATGTGTATAACACATTTTGATTCTTTTTTATTCCCCTTATCCTCCACACTTCCCTCCTTCCCTGCATCCCTAGACAACCTTTTCCCATTTTTGTTGTTATTATTATTATTATTATTATTATTTTAGATTATGTTTATGACATATAATGTTTACATTCATTGTACATATTTGGTACACATACATGACACATCTTAAATCATTTTACTTTTCCTTTCTCCCCTCCCCTTGCCCTCTTTCTCTTGGACCCCTTCCTGTTTGCAAATGATCTATCTCCCTGCTTTCTTCCATCGATCCTTTATTTTGCTCTTTATTTATACTTTGCCTTACTCAAATGAGAAATGCTACATGGTATTTAAGCTTGAGCATCTGATTTATTTCACTTAACATATATTTTTGAGGTGTATATATTATACCATCCAATTGTATAATACTATATTTTCCAGGTGTATCCATTTTCCAACAAATGACTCAAATTTATCCTTTACAGCCAAATAGTATTTTATTATGTATATATACCACATTTTCTTTATCCATTCATCTGTTGATGAAAATATAGGCTGCTTCCAGGATTAAGCTACTATGAATTGTTCTGCTATAAACATTGCTGTGTCGGGGCCAGGGATTTACCTCAGTGACAGCGTGCCTGCCTTGCAAGTGCAAGGTCCTGAGTTTGATCCTCAGTACCAAAAAAAAAAAAACCAACCAAACATTGCTGTGCATCTATCACTGTAATATGATGTCTTAACTCTTTTTGGAAGATACCTAGAAGGGGCATAGCTGTGTCAAACAGAATTTCTAATTTAGTTCTTTGAGAAATCTCCATACTGGATGTACTAGTTTACATTCCCATCAACAATGTATAAGGGTTCTTTTTTTACAGCAGCCATGTCAGCATTTGTTATTTGGTTTCTTGATGATTGCCATTCTTTCTAGTATCATGAAATCATTGTGTCATTTTAATTTGCATTTCTCTAATGGCGAGAGATGTTAAACATTTTTTTCATATGTTTATCGATCATTTGTTCTTCTTTTAAAATGCATCTATTCATTTTATTGCCCACTTTTTAAAAATTACATCTTTTGTTTTGGATGGCCTAACTTTTTTGAGATTTTATTTTATTTTTTTTCATGTTTTAACATTTAATAGAAACTATGTACAATAAATTTTTACTGTATTTTACATAAGATAGCCACCGCAGAAATTTACATAGATTGGAAGGAAGGTAGATTGGTTAAGGAGGGCCCAGTCCTGTGGGATATTTTCTCAGAGCATGAAAGTCAGAGTTCAGTTGGGGAAAAGGTTCAGAGTGCCAGATTAAGCGGATGGTAAGAGAAGCTAAAATGCAGGCCTTTGGGTACATAACCAGACGCTGGGACCACCAATATTCAAAAGCACCATTCTTAAACACAGGCCCCGTCTAGTTATCTATGTGGATTCTTGCCCGTGACTTAGGAAACACCATTCCAAAGATGTTTTTCCCAGTAGGCAAAGTCTCAAACATTCATTCAATACCAGAGATAGGGATGACCTCTCCTTGCCCACAGCAGGAAGAAACCCACAGCTTTTGGACACTACTGACCCATTCTCCCCAGATTTAGCTTTTATTTGACTGTAGCACTCTCTAACCCAGAAGGAAAACAAGGCAGAGTTGCCCCATTTAAGTTAAGAGGTGATCAGAGACACTTATTTGAAGAACGGGAAATTCAAATCCACCAAATCAAATAGTTCCTAGAACAAACTGTCAGCTGATAGAAGTGGGTTCTGGTTTCCCATTTGCAGTAGCCAATCCACTTTGAGGCAATGGCACACAGACTTTCTCAGAATTTCAAGATCCCTGGGATCTGCACCCATCTCCAGCCATCTGCACCTGGCTCAATATATCCACTGAGCCTTCAGCAATTTCTTTGACTGAATGATCTTCAAGGGTTAGTGAAGGATCAAAAAGCAAGGGTGAAGGAGAACACTGCATACCATCACCCACAACATCCAAGTCCTGCTCGGGCTTATACATCTGAGGAGGCAACTGGAAATGCAGTGGACAGCAGGGATCCTCAGAGAGGCTTACAGGAACTGCTTTGTTGCAGGGGACCTCTTCAGATCCCTGGTAGCATTTGAAAAGAACTTGATTTGTATCCTGACAAATATGGGTAAGGCAGTGTCTGGTCATTGGAAGAGACTGATTGGAACAACGAACATCATCCATGAAGGCCAAACACCTCTGACTGGAACCAGTGGTATGGGCCTGCTGGGCAGCACCATCCGTGGCCTGCATTCTGCGTTCCTTCAGTTGCCTGTGTAGTAAGGCTTCCACTCCACAGCGCTGGCGATACCGCCGGAGTCCCTCTGGGCCAGTCTAGAGACTGCTGTCTAGAGCTTCATGTCCCACTTTGCGGTTATGTAAGTACCGGCGCTGCTTCTTCTTAAGCAAATGCTGAAGTCGTTTAAACTGATCTATGTATAAAGACTGCAAACGAATTAACTTTTCACTCGTAATCAGGGCCACTTCTGCTGTGCACACACCAGCATGTTTTAGGGGATCTTCTTGATCACTGTCTATGCTATCAGCTTCACTGTCAGGGTAACCTCTCCATGTCTGATCCACAGTAATGGGTTCCTGGTCTCCATCACTCCATCTGTCTTCATCCAGTATTCAGCTGGCTTCACTACGGCTACTTTCTGGAGTCTGAGATCCCAACTCTGTCTTAGCATATGAACTCAGCTGGCACAACAGAGTTTCACCCATAGGCCCTGGGTTGGTCTTCTTCATTTGAGCATGAAGCACTAGGGCATTCCTTCGGGCATGATCAGCACAGAAGGACATACCATCTTTCTTCTCTGGCTTTGGGGCAGCACTGGGACATCTCTTTCCATTCTTCGTGGATATATAACTACATTGCTTGAAGGGTGCATTCTTGTCCTTGAGGATATGCTTAATCCAAAACTCCTGTCCTTCCAGACGAGGCTGAGAGCATGGGCGATGAGTGAAGGAACAAGACAACGGTTCCTGGGACCTGGGCACTGGCGTGATCCTCCCCCGATTGGTTGGCAAGACATGAATCCGAATCCCTACCGCTGCACTCCGCCGCTCTGCACCTCGTCTCCTTTTTGAGATTTTATATATTCTAAATATTAGTTCTTTTCTGAGGAATAGGTGGCAAAAGTTTATCCCATTCTGTAGACTGTTTCTTCACTCTCCTGATTGTTTCCTTTGCTGTGCAGAAGCTTTTTAATTTGATATAATCCAATTTGTTAATCTTGCTCATACTTCTTATGCATTTGGAGTTCTGTTCAGAAAGTCCTTGCCTACACCTCACCTCCACCTCCAGTGTTTTACATATTTTATCTTCCAGTAGGGTCATTGTTTCTCTTTTAATGTTTAGATCCTTGATCTATTTTTATTTTAGCTTAGCACATGTGAGAGATATGGATTCAGCTTCAAACACTGCAAACAGATACCCAATTTTCCCAGCACCAATTGTTTGAATAGGCTATCTTTCCTTCAATGTATGTTTTGATCCTTTTGTCAAAGATCAAATAGCTAAATGTGTCTGCAGAAATATTTGTATTATCTCTTCTGTTCTATTGATCAACATGTCGGTTTTTTGTTTTGTTTTTTTTTTGGCAATACCATGCCATTTTTGTCATGGTTGCTTTGTAGTATAACTTGAAGTCAGGTGTGTGATACCTCCTGCTTTACTCTGGTTGCCCAGGATTGATTTTTTTTTTATTCTTAGTCTCTTTTGGTTCATATGGATTTAAATTTTTTTTCTCTAGTTCTTTGAGAAGTGCCAATATTTTTGATTGGAATTGTGTTAATCTGTGTATCAGTTTTGGGAGTATGTTCATTTTGACAATATAATAGCAAGGGTCCCTTCTTGAGGGCAAAAATGTATAAGTCCAGGAAATCTGTTACTCAGTGGAAGGGCATTATGCTGATAAGTTGAGGATTTTTTTGCCTAGAAAATTGATGAATTTCATGGAAAAATGCTTCATTAAATGAGGTTAAAACACTTTGAAACTTCTAATTACTTATATCTTGTGATGTGTTTACTGTCTTTTGGCTAGGCTGTACCTTCAGGAGAACTGGACTAAATTTTTCTTTGGAAAGAATTTTCTTTTCGTTTATATTTAAGGGCTGGAGGTTTAGCTCAGTGGTTCCCCTGCCTGCCTTGCAAATGCAAGGTCCTGAGTTTGATCCCGGCACCAAAATAAATAAATAAATAAATAAACAAACAAACATTTATATTTAAAATTTCATATATTTATGGTGTACAACAATGATGTTTAGTGTATATATGCTACAGGATGGCTCAGTGGAGGTAATCAGTGTATTAATTACTTTATATATTTATCTTTTTGAGGCTAGAGCATTTAAATTTTATTCTCTCAGCAATTTCAATTATACAATACATTGTTATTAACTGTAGTTAACATAATGTACAATATATATCACTTGAACATAGTCCTTCTGTCAAACTCCAATTTTGTATCCCTTGGGCAACATCTCCCCAATTCCCTGAATCCCCAGCCACTGGTAGCCACCAGTTTACTCTTTCATTTTGAGTTCAACCTTTTTAGATTCCACATATAAGTGAAATCACTTGGAATTTACCTTTCTGTTCCTGGGGTATTTCACTTACCATAGTGTCCTCCAGGTTTATCCATGTTGTTGCAATGATAGAATTCTTTTTAAAGGCTAAATAGTACTCCAACATGAATATGTGCTGCTTTTCCTTATCCATGCATCTGTTGATGGACACTTAGGTTGTTTCTACCATTTGGCTGCTCTAAATAATGCTGTGGTAAACATAGGAGTACAGGTTCCTCTTCAATATATGATTTCTTTCCCGTGATGTATACCTAGTAGTGGAATTACTGGGCAACATGTGTTACTTGTCTTTTTGTCACTGAGTCAAAATACCCAAGAAAAATGACATTTGAGGAGGAAAGCTTTATTTTGGCACATGGTTTCAGATATTTTGGTCCATGATTGCTTGGTTCTGTAGTCCTATGGTGGCAAAGTATATCATGGTGGGAGGCCATGGTAGAAGAAGCCTGTCTACCTTATGGTGACTGCAAGAAGAGAGAGGGGAAGGAACTGGGATCTTGTTATTGATTTCAAGGACATGACCACAATGACCTAACTTTCTCCCATTAGGCCCCAAATCTTAAAGATTCTGCCATCTCCCAATAGTGCCACTGGCATGTGACCAAGTCTTTAACACCTTGGCTTTTGGGGGATATATAAGATCCAAAGCCTAAAAATATGGTAGTTGTATTTTTTATTTTTAAAAGAATCTCCATACTGGTACTAATTTATATTCCTATGAACAGTGTATCAGGGTTACTTTTCCTCCACATCCTTGCCAACACATGTGAGGATGTTTTTGATACCATTTTGACAGGTGTGAAGTAATAATCTTGTGGTTTTATTCTAAATTCTTTTTACTTAGGCTCATTACTGAACCAGCAAACAAGTAGGACAAAAGTTTTATAAGATAGAGATTAAAATGAATAATTGGACACAGTAACACATGACTCCACAGTTCTGCATGGGGGTGGGCTAAAAGTTCTCTGTCAATGCCACCAGTGTGGACCGAGTGTCCACCATATCACAGAAGCTTGGAGCTTCTAACTTGCTGCCTTTTTATTTGGCTGAGGACAGATAGAGCCCCTCACTAGCACATGAGGAAATTTGTTGTTATCCACAGTTTGACACAGTTCCACACTTCTGTGATTGTAGTGGCTTTGCTCAGGCAACTTGGATAAATCAGACCTGTGTCTTCTAGAAACCTTAGAATTTTCTGGTAGAGCTGGCCAAAAGAATAATGGACTTGAAATTGGAAGGAGGAAGTAAAGCAGCAGCCAAAACTGTCTGAAGGTGGGTGATAAGAGGCTGTAAGAAACAGATGCAAGTGGGCTGGTGACCTTGCTGTTCTTTGCTTCATGTTTGACTCTTCTTCCTGAAGCCTGACTGAGCTGACCTACAATGGCCCCAGGGTCACCATAGGATACTTGGCAACAACCCCACAGAGGTGGTAGCTATGCAGAAGTCCACAGACTTCTACAGTAGCCCCTTTGCAGTCCCAGTCCTGTTCCTAGATGTGTCTAGACCCAACATCCAACATCTGACATCACCTCCAGTGCTGCAGATAGGCTCACTGGACTTTTCCTGGTACTCCAATTCCTTTCTTTAGTCCTTTACTTCCTCATCTTAACTCTTATGATAAATTTCCTGTTCAGTAGTCACAGTGGCTATGTTTTCTGGGTGGAATTTCTATTATCAGTTATGCTGATCTAGTCTTGTGGACAAAACAATTCCAAAACCTAGTAACTTAAAACCACAATAATTTTATTTTCTTCATGATTCTGTTGGGTTTAAAGGGAAGTTCCTTTCCTATTTATGATCAGAGTTAGGTGACTATAAATGGAAAAATCCAAAAGCTTAAATCCAAAAGCTACTTTTCTTGGTAGTTACAGAGTCTCCAGTGCTTTCCGTTAGCATAGTTGAAATTTGAAAGGTCAGATTAGGGTCCCTAAGAACACAAAAGTGGAAAAATCTGTCATATCTGCTACATTCTTTTAATTAAGGCAAATCATGCAGCCAGTACAGATCCAATGAGGGAAAGGACTACATAAGGTCATGAATAACAGGATATGTACATCTTTAAAGTCCACTTTGGGTACCAGAGAGCAGAATTAGCTTTTTGGGGGAGTGCTGCAATTGACCTCCATAATTTCTGTGTTACTTGGAGCTGTGCTCTTTTTATGCTGCTATGATTATTCATCAGGCACCACATTGGGCCCAAGCATTTACACAAGTTCTCTTGGGCACTCTGTCCTGTAACAGCAGTCATCATTGCATGAGTAGAGGCATAGGATGGCATTTCCCTCATTCATGGCTGAGCAACTGAAACTGTGATTGTATATCACTTCTCAGTACTGCAACATGGACAAACCTGTTAGGGCAGGTGTTTAGACTGCCTGTGTCCAGAGATAGCATCCCCTTATATTGCTGCTGGCTCTACCCTGAAGAATTTGACTGTCTGAGATTGTTGTAGGTGCTGTGATCTTTCACATATGGCTCCTTTCATCCTTACGGGACAGCTTAGATTGATTTTCTGCTTCTAGATTCCCTGCCAGAGTTGTTATACCTAAGGTTTCTTACTAACCCTGGTACTTTCACATGATTAACTAGACTAACTCTGAGATCATGAACAGTATTATGTGGCTTAAATGGATAGCTCCTGAGGACACTTTATGGTACAACCACTGTTGTTAGTTTTTCCTGTGGTAGAGACAGGGCTAGTTTTGTAGGCATGGGGTTGTGCAGTTGTTCAGGTCTCTGTGCTTAGAATGGCTCTGAACTCAGTTCTGGTTTTGCTATTGGTATCCTGAAATTTCTATTAATTTTTTAATGGAGAATTTTCCTTTTTATTTTGACTAGGCAACACAAAGCATATAGCCTGTCCTCCCATTCAACTATCTGATTATTGACAAAGGGACTAAAAACATATACTGGAGGAAAGATGGCCTTTTTAACAAATGATGCTGGGAAAATTGGCTATGGACATGTAGATGATTGAAACTAGTCTAATATCTCTCACTATGTACTAAACTTAAATAAAAATTTATCAAAGTTCTTAATGTTACAACAAAAACATTTAGAGGCTTCCAGGCCAATATACCACCGCTCCCAGCACAGAGGAGGATTCTTCCTGGTCGATGTGCCACTGCTCCCAGCACAGAAGACGAGGCTTCTGGGTCAACATGCAACAACTCCCACTGCAGAGGAGGAGGCTTCCAGGCCAATGTACCACCACTCCCAGCACAGAGGAGGTGAGCTGCATGGGCGCCAGCAGCACCCCCCTATCGAAATGAGAAGACATGTAAACAAGCCTCAAAACCAGACTTCCAGATCACCTACAACAACCCCAAAGGGAAACGAGAGGGAAAACTGATACTCTACCACCTGGACTCCCTGAACTAGCAACAAAAGAGGATCTGGAAAAAATGAAATCAGAAATAATTTCTCACATAACAGCAGAGATTGTGCCCATAGTGCAAGACATGATTAATAGATCTAGAGAGGACACAGATAAAATAGAGGAGCTGAGGAATATGGTGGAATCCCAACATAGGAAACAAATAGAATCCATAAAACAGATGCAAACAGATTTCCAGGAGATTAAAAACTCCACTGAAAGTCTATGCAGCACAATGAGCCAATGTGAGGACAGAATTTCAGATATAGAAGATAAGATTGCAATTAGTGACCAGGAAAGCAAAATTTCTTTAAAATAGTAAGGGACCATGAGAAATCAATCCAGCAGCTGCTAGACAATGCAAAGAAGAACAACATAAGACTGATTGGAGTCAACAAAGAAATAGGAGAGTGTGCAGATGACATAAGAAAACTGTTCACAGAAGTGATGCTGGAAAACTTCCCAAATAAGGGAAAAGAACTTGACATACAGATAAGTGAGGCATATAGGACTCCAACTCACCTTGATCAAAAAAAATCTACACATAGGGGTATAATTGTTAAGATTCCAGAAACCCAACTGAAGGACAAAGTTCTTCAAGCAGTTAGAGAAAAGAAATAAATCACATACAAAGGAAAGCCCATCAGAATCACAGCAGACTTCTCAATCAAACCCTCAAGGCAAGAAGAGCTTGAAGTGGCATATTGCAAGCCCAAAAGGAAAACAGCCTCCAACCCAGATTGATGTAACCTACAAAATTGTCTTTCAAAACGGATGGTGAAATAAGATACTTTCATGGCAAAGAGCACCTTAGGAACTTCATGAATACCAAACCAGCACTCCAAAAATTTTAGACAATATCCTAGGAAAAGACAATGTGGATCACAACCCCAGGAAGCCCAGAAGAATGAATCCATCAGACATGACAAGAAATTAAACACAAACGGGGAGAATTCAACAAAAAGAAAAAGTCTTCACAAGGATAAGTCAATAGGTAACAGTTATAACCATCAATGTGAATGGTCTCGACTCACCAATCAAAAGAAATAGACTGGCAGAATGGGTCAAGAAGCAAGATCCAACAATATGCTGCATACAAAAAACACTTAATTCAAAATGAAACTCATAGACTGAAAGTTAAAGGGTGGAAAACAATACTTCATGTGACAGGAACTCAAAAAAAAGCAGGAGTAGCTATCTTCTTTGCAGATCAAGTGGATTTCAAACCAACACTGATTAAGACAGACAAAGAAGGATACTACATCCTTGTAAAGGGAACAATTCAAGAGGAAGAGATGACAATCATAAATATCTATGCACCAAACACTAGTGTACCCAACTATATAAAACAAATACTAATGGACAAGAAAAATCATATAAGCATTAATACAATAGTAGTGGGGGACCTCAATACCCCACTGTCACAAAGAAATAGATCAACTCGACAAAAAACAAACAATGAAATACTGAAACTCAATCAAACTCTTGAACAAATGAACTTATCAGATGTTTACAGGGAGTTCCACCCCACAAAATCAGAATACACATTCTTTTTTCTTTTCCTTAAATTCTTTTATTGGCACATTTTAGGTAAATAATACTTTTACATTTATCATTGGGTGCTTGTACCTGTACATGATGTATCTTGGTTCTTATTTTTTTCCCCATTACCTGTGCACC